TTAATTAATTTCAATGTGACAAGAGAGGGACACAGAGAGAAACAGAGTGAGAAAGCAAGCCACCGGGTTCTGGACTTGAACCGCAGTCGGCCATGTGGGAGTCCAGCATCCTGAACCACCACACCACCTGCTGCCCCACTATGGGTGTTCTGAACACATAGTGTGTGCTTGACCTTCTCTTGTCTCCGTTCAGGGGCTAGTGTCGGCGTCTGTCCCAGGGCTTGGGTCTGGCTGAATCATGATCAGGGGGCGGCTGCTGAGGAAGAGAAAGAGGACGAGAAAGAGAAAGGCCTCCATCTTGCCTGGACCTGGGAATTGGAAAGAAGGAGACAAAGGGAGAGAGTAGAAATGGACACAGGCAGCCTGAGCCTGGGTAGCCCAAGCAACTTGTGCCACCCAGATGAACTGGACGTCTTTGTTTATAGTACAAGGAGACGTTACACATGTATGTTTCATGACACTTCATGGATTAGTTGCCAGGTTACAGACAATGAGAAGCAGTTAACAAGTCTATAAGAGATTAGTCATACCTGGGCCCAGGTGTATCCCTTGGCGATAATCCCATCTAGAGAGAATCTCATCTTCTTTTCTAATGCAGAGAACTAGCTGTTAGGTGTGGGGAAGGAGCTAAAGAACTTCTCTATAAGGAGTGTACCACCACACCCAGAGAAGTCTAAAGAACCTTTCAGATGTAGAGCAGGGATTGGACTTTACTAATTGGGGTCAAGATGTTTCTTGGAGTCCATCAGATGTGTCTGTTGGAATGCCCCTAGTAATTTCCACCCTTGCTTTGTCTGCAGCCAAGGTCAAGGAAAGACAAGTTACAAGGTTCTGCCAAACCCCAAAAGAGCATGTGGTGTTTGCTCAGCGCATGTCCCCACACCTCAGACTCTCTCTCTTAACCGTGTCCCCACAGGCTGGTCTCACTCCTCTTTGCTCACCTCTCTTCATGCTCTGTCACTCCCCTGTGCGGGTACTTTTATCTGAAGCTGGCTGTTCTGTGTCTAGACAGTGCTGACTGAGGTCAGAGGGAGCTCCTGAGCAGTTCCACTCGAGCTTTAGCTCATCGCCACCAGGTGGCAGCAGCAGGAGGAGTCATCCCGTCTGAATGTCCCTGATCGTGTTCTGACCTGTGCTGATTTTCGTTTGTTTAAATTTTATTTTCTGACTTTTTATTTACACTTATTCACTGTACATCTTCACAGCATACACTCTGGTTTTTCTTTCTTTTTCGCCCTCAATTCCCTCCTTCCCGCCCCCAGTGCCACCGCTTGCCCGTGCTGCCTCTGTACCCACAGTTACCCTCCATGCTGCTGTACCTTCCAAACACCCCTGCACCTCCTCTCACTGGGAGGAGATAGATACATGTGCATACCCACACGGGGCTTCAACAAGACCATGGAAAATGGAAACTATGCATGGATTTCAAAATGTGGGGTCCCCAAATAAACTCATATTTTAATTCCATTTTCTACAAACTTTTTGAAGTCTCCTCACTCATTTTTACCCCAGAATTGCACTTGGACTCCTAGAAGTGGATCTAAACTCAGACTAGCAGAGATAAACATCTTGACTAAAGGGAAAAGATCTTGTTAAGAAGTTCGCCTCAGAGTTTCTTAATGACATCGTTGGGGTGTTATGCACATCATGGACATGTCCCAGAGGTAACATAGCCCTGTGCTGTATTTCGTGGAACTTTACACGCAAGTCTTTCACAGGTGACAAGAAAGAGGTCGGTTGCAGCTGGAGACTGCCCCTGTCCTAGGATAGTGACCAATGAAAGGCCACTTCTCTGTCCACAGCCCTACAGCCTCATCACCCAGGTGGCACGGCTACTCCTCCCTGAGCCTGGGAGGTAGTCCTGGTAGGGGTGGCTGGGCCCCTGCTCTCTCCAGGGCAGGCTGGCCTCCTCTTCTGAGCCTTCCTTGTATAGGGAGGAGAGGCGTTGCCCACTCTACTTGTGCCTGGTCTGTGAAATTATCCTGGGGATGCAGAGAGGGAACCTTGTAATATGCCTAGTGGCCATTAGTATGTCTATTAAAGAAATGTCTTTTCAAGTACTTTGTCCAGTTTTTAATTGGATTTTTTTTCTATTGAGTTGTGTGATTTTCTTATATTTTGGATATTGATCCCTCATCAGATATATAGTTTGTAAATATTACCTCCCGATCTGTAGGTTGTCTTAATTTTATTGATTATCTTCACACCAAAACTATGAGAACCTAATAAACAAATTCAATAAGGTTTCAGGAAACAAAATCAACATACAAAAATCTATAATGTTCCATGCACTAATATAAAATTATACAAAAAGGAAATTAAGGAAACACTTCATTTTCCAACAGCATCAGAAACAAAACTACTAAGGGATAAATTTAACCCAAAAGATGAAAAAAAAATTTTTTAAAAATAGTTTTGCTATAGGGTACATGCACTCTCTGGAGCAACAGAGAGAGACAGAGAGAAAGTGAGAAATCACCTGGGGGCGGGGGGCAAGGGAGAGGGCACATGGTAGTAACCACACCACAATTCTTTATCTTTCATTCTCCTCCTGGGATTTTGGGCATGCATGCACATGCACCAGGTTTTGGACTCAAACCTCAGTCAGCTGTGTGGTGGTCCAGTGCCTCAGCTACTATGCCACCAACTGGCCCCCTAAGATTAAACATTTGTATGCAGAAAACTATAAAATGTTGATGAAGGAAATTGAAGAAGACATGAATAAATGGAAATACATCTTGTGTTCATGGATTTGAAGAATTAATATTGTTAAGATTCTCATGCTACCTATTTAATGCAATCCCTATAAATGACATTTTTTTTCACAGAAATTGTTTTTTAAAAAATTTATGCGGAGCTACAAAAGACCCCAAATAGCTGTCAACATAACAAAGGTGAAGGCGTCACACTCCCTGATCGCAAGTCCATTGTAAAGCTATAGGAATCAAAACAGCATGGTACTGGCACAAAAACAGACGCATCAACCAATAGCAGAATAGAGAGCTCAGGGATACGCCCAGACGTAGACAACCAGCTAATTTCTGACGATGGCATCAAAGAGACCAGTGGGGAAAGGAGGCATCGCTAGCACATAGTGCTGGAGGAACTGGATGTCTACATGTGAAAGAGTGAGACAGCCCTGGCTTAAACCGCACCCAGAAATTGATTGAAAGTGAAGTGAAGACTTAAACGTAAAAGTGAAACTGAAACTACTAAACTCGCAGAAAATAATTAAGTGGGAGGGAAGCTTCTGGACATTGGTCTGACACCAGAAGCTCAGCAGTGAAAGCGAGCGTGAGTGAGGGGGCAATGTGAGTTTATCTCCTGCCTACCTCAGTTTTAATTTGCCTTCTTTTTCTAGTTTCTGAAGTTGGAAATTTAGATGGTTGCTTTTAGATCTTCTTTTCTTTTTCTTTCTTTCTTTCTTTTTTTTTTTTTTTTTTTAGATTTTTTTATAGGGCATGTGCGCTCGCCAGAAAGAGACACAGAGAGACAGAAAGCGAGAAATCACCCCCCAGGGGGGATGGCCGCGCCGCAATCCCTTCTCCTCCATTCTCCTCTCAGGATCTTGGGCACGCACGCACACGCGCCCGGCGTGAGTTTTAAGCCACCGGATCCGGGACTCGAACCGCGGTCGACGACATGGGAGTCCAGCGACATAGCCATTATGCTAACTACTGATCCTTTAGATCTTCTTTTCTAATAAATATGTTCGATGCTACCAGTTTTCCTCTAAGCATTGCTTTAGTGAGTTGTGATGTTTTGATTTTGTTTTCATTTGATTTAAAATGCTTAAAATATTCTCTGGAGATTTTTTTTTTATTGACCCATGTGCTGTTTAGAGGAAGTGTGTTATCTAACCAGACTACTTAGTCTAAAATATGTATGCCGATTTATAAGCAAGGGACAGTGAATAGAAACATCGTCCCAGGGCAGCTGGATTTACTGACTGAGGCAGGCAGGAGATTGGTCACTGGGCAGGACAAGGACGGAAGACGCATTTAGCAGCAAAGTGTAATCTGGAGTGACTACTGGTCATCCTCGTTTCTGGTATTAGGGGTTTGCCAGGACATGGGAAACTGGTGTCATCTTTTCTTAGTCACAGTGAAGAGTTGCCCATAAAGGGAAGAGGTTTGGACAGATGGTAAAAGGGAGAGGATTTGAGAAATTATTTTCAGGAGGCATTTGAAATTGGAGAGCAGAATTAGGGCAGGCTAAGTAGGCTGTTCCAAGGGCCTATCAGCCCGGGGTGGTAGGAACAGTGAGAACCAGAGTGCGGGATCTTGGTTCCGTGTAGTGGAAGTCCAGTCACGCCCTCCTTGCTTAGGTGCACTTGAATGATAACCAGAAGCACTTACAAGAGTGGCCTGGCTCAGAGTCAGCATCTAAAAACATGTTCGATGCTGTTATTATTGCTACTAAGAAAAGTAGTGGATGATGGGGCCAGGTAGGGCTTCGTGGGCAGCAGTCCGTAGAGGGGAGAGGAGATCTGGACGAGAAGGGGCAGTGTAAAGGGGACTGAGATCAGGCAGTGACACCTCCAGCTTAGTTAAAAATACCATTGGGATTCTTATAGGGCTGCATTAAATGGGCAGTGTGGCCATCTGAACAGTGCTCATTCTTGAAGGGGACCGATGACTCTTCAACTCACTGCTCTGCTTACGTGCTCCCAGTGCACTGGTTGACGAATGTGTCCAGTGTGGAAGGGAATGAGACTATAAATGATGCACTCTGTGCTCAAAGTTTAAAATTTTTGTTGAGTTACAATTAAGATAGTAAATGGTTAGCAAAGGGTAAATATAGAGAAGAGAGGAAGCTGATTTCAAGTGAAAGAAAACAGGAACTTGAAATTGGCTGGTTTCCAACAGAACTGCAAGAGAGGGAGGGAAGGAAGGGGAGAAGAGAAGGTGGTGCCCAGTCACGTGAAGCGGCTGTCCCCACGCCCAGCCAGGCCAGCATTCAGGGCACCCTCTGGTATTAAACACAAAACAAAACCACGTTTACATCGAGAAAGAAGAACAGCACCGGCATCGACATAGTTTCCTCCGCAGTGTTTTCCGCACGGCAGCCTTGACCTCCTTATTCCTCAGGCTGTAGATCAGGGGGTTCAGCATGGGGATCGCTGAGGTGTAGAACACGGAGGCCACACTCTCCTGGGCCAGGGAAGTGGCCGTGGAGGGCTTTAAGTACATGAAGGCCGTCGACCCGTAGAATATCCCCACAGCCGTGAGGTGGGAGTTGCAGGTGCCGAAGGCCTTGGCCCTGCCCTCGGCCGTGCTGATGCGGAGGATGCTGGAGAGGACGAAGGCGTAGGAGATGAGCACTGTCAGGCTGGTGACCACAATGTTGAACCCAGCCAGAAGGAAGACTGTCACCTCGACACCGTAGGTGCTGGAGCAGGAGAGCTTCATGAGAGGGAGGATGTCGCAGAAGTAGTGGCTGACCAGACGTCCGCAGTAGGACAGGCTCAGCATGAGGCCCGTCTCCACTGTCGAACCAATGAGCCCCATGGTGTAGACCGCAGCCACCAGCAGGGAGCAGACGGAGGGAGACATGATGGTGCCGTAGAGCAGAGGGCGGCAGATGGCAACGTAGCGGTCGTAGGCCATCACCGTGAGCATGTAGCACTCAGCAATGACGAAGAGGAGGAAGAAGAAGAGCTGCGACATGCACCCCGTGTAGGAGATGGCCTTCTTCTCCGACACGAAGCTCACCAGCATCTTTGGGGTGGTGACGGAGGCGTAGAGGAGGTCCACCAGGGACAGGTTGCTGAGGAAGTAGTACATGGGGGTGTGGAGCTGCGTGTCCAGGCAGATCAGGCCGGTCATGCCCAGGTTCCCCAGCATGGTGACCACGTAGACCCCGAGGAAGAGGAGGAAGAGGGGGAGCTGGAGCTCCGTCCGGCTGGTTAAGCCCCCTAGGATGAATTCAGTCACTACAGAGTGGTTCTCTGCAGCCATGCTTCTCCGGCAGGCCTGTGGAGAGAAGAGCCAGTGAACAGCTGCCCATGCTGCCCGGGGTGGGCGTGGAGTCAGACTGGGCCCTTCACCAGTGGGCCTTGCCACCCCTGCTCCTTGTTGGGGAGAAACTAGCCCTGGAGTGTTTCAAAGATCACAAGAGGAAAGGGGACTTTTACCACACACAGAAGTCCCCAGGTGCCCGCACACTGTCCTCGCAGTGTAGCAGCTGGCATCGCCCGGGCTTGGTAGAGAGGCAGGCTCTCTGCCCCGGCCCTGATCCACCAAGGCAGACTCCAGGATGAGGCCTGGTGTGACATTTAAACAGTCTCTCCTGGGACACTGAGCTGCTCGGTATGAGAGCCCTCCTCTACCGACAGGCAGGCCATCCCTGCTTTACAGCTCGGGATGGCCTTGGTGGGAACCACCCTGCCGGTTCTGCACTGCCTCGATGCTGTGTGAGCTTGTGGGCACCCACCCCGACCACACGCTGTCAGGGAGCATGTTAGTCACCAGCTGTACTGTCGAGGGAAAAGTCCATTTCCACATCTAAAAGATGAAGAAATTCCTAACGGTGATCCCAGAGGTGGCTGGATCTATAATGTGGGGTAACACAGATGAGAAACCGTTTTCGAGCCACTCAGCTCCTGTGACAATGTGAGCGGCCACCGAGTGCCTGGGACCTGTTCTGTTTCTCACCGGGCTTGAGGCCCGAGGCAGCGGACCGCCACGTGGGCCCTTGTCTGCGCCGATGCCACCGCCTTGCCGCCATGGGTCTGTAGTGGTCTCTCGGCTGGCGTCCATTCAGGTGTGCAGCAGCTGAGGTTGGCGCTGGCACTGCTTTCCGGTCAGAGCAGACCACGGCGCTCCGCAGCCCCGCAGCAAAGATCCCAACTCCGGCGGTGTCTAGGCAGCGCCGCCGCCACTGCGGGAGACGCAGATGTCCTCGGGTGGGAGGCATTTCTTAAGCTAAAAATGGCGAAGTCTCACTATTTTAATGCTTCCTTACATAATACTGACTTTCGTGTGGTGCACTATGGCCTACACATTTATTTCAGGGCTCAGTCTAATTAACTTCTAACATTCTTGGTTATGAGAAGAAACATGTTTAAAGGAGGATTTTTATTCCATTTTCATACTGAGAAAACTGAGGTGACTAGACTAAGGCTTACTCATTATTTTTTCCCAAAATTCTCAAATGTATTTAAATGATCCAAGAATATTGTCCTGTTTATATACTTATTTTAAGAACACTTTTAAAAACAATATTTTCTAGATAAGAAAGATTCTAAAAGTGTAAGTTAAATACATTAAAATATAAAGTGCTGTGTTCATCAAGTCTGTCCCCGTGATAGTAAACATTGGGGAAAGTTTCTGATCCTGAAAAGACGAACACTTGTGCATGAGCAGATCTCTGGGAGGGTCTGTACGAAAATATTAGCAGAGCTGATTTGGAAAGAGAAGCCAGGGATGGCAGGGAGATTTAGTTCGTATTTGTACACTCATACAGTGGACTTTGTAACATTGTCATGCACTACTGCAGCATGGAGAGTTTGCTGAAAACGAGCAAGTAAACTAAGCTTTCCCACGTGCAGAATTGCACAGGGCTCTAGTTCACGGGACTCCTGGAGCTCAGAGCAGCGTAGAATTGGGACCTCTCAGCTCTGCCCGTCATGTCGCCGGCTCCCACCTCGTCGGTAACCACAGCTACTGCGACACCCTGGGGACCACAAGGCTGCTGGTGACTTGGGGCTCAGACTCGCCTCTGCCCCTGCCTGATGGGGTGCTTCGGCCCTGGCTTGTCGTGCAGCTTGCGGTCCGCACACCCCCAGGTCCCTAAGCAAGGTGAGATGGTGACGAGCCGGGCATGCTGTCTTGGTGTGAGCACGGCATGAGGAAAAGGAGGGCTGCCACATGGCTGTTCTGGTCCTCTCCGTCAGGAGCGCTCACAGTGAGTTACCCCAGGTAGCCCAGCCAGGAAGAGGGAGAACTGGGCCCATGACCACCTTCTTCTTTAAAGACTTATCTTATTTACCTTTATTTATTTATTTTACTTTTACTTGACCAGAGAGGGACAGCGAGTGAGAAAGAGAGAGAGGGAAAGTGAGAAAGCAAGCTGCCAGGTCCAGGACTTGAACCACAGTCGGCTATGTGGGAGTCCAGCGCCCCAACCACCATGCTGCCTGCTGGCCCTGGGCCCACAATTGTCTGATCAACAGTCTATTCTATCTCCATGAAACCATATTGTTTTGTTGTAGCTTCTCTTTATTTAGCACTTTATTGTTATTTGGTAAAATTAATTTATTGAATTTTTTGAGATAGAGATCTTACTGCTAATATCAGGTGCGTTTTTAAAAATTATAAGGCAGTATGCCTAAATAGTAAGTTAGAAAAGCAAATAGCAAAAGTATTTTCCTGCTACTTGAAGCCCAACACTGAGAGTAAATACCTTTTACATTTTTTCTTTTCATTTTTCTTTTTTAATTGCCAAAGAGTGTGTGCACTCACCACAAAGACAAAGAGAGAGGAAGAGGGAGAAAGCACCCCCAATGAGATGTGGCCATGCCACAACCCTTTCTCCTCCATTGCCCCATCCTGCTGGAATTTGGGGCACACACACACACACACACTCACCTGGCTTTTGTTGTTGTTAAGGTTTTTGCCATAGGGTGCGTGTGCTTGCCAGAGAGAGACACAGTGAGAGGGAAAATGAGACGTCACCCCCCCATGGCTGCTAGAGCTAAGATTTGCACTGTAGGCAGCCATGTGCAAGCCAAAGGGTTCTTTGAACCACTGGGCCTTGGGTCTGGTCCCCTTCTGAATGTTTTCTAAGCACTTATCTACTTACATATGCATAAACAACTATTTATTTCTACAGAAACATTTTGTAACCTGCTTTATTTACAAAGCACTTTAAAGCACATCCCCTTAGGTCCCTCTAATAGTAATGCTGACACCAACCGGGCTGCTCATTCTGAGATGCAGTCTACAGCCCTTACAACGGGGCATGAATGTTAGACAGCTTGCATTGTTACATGCTTTATATGTTACTGGTGGTGAGGTATTTAACTTTATAATAACTAGTATGCAAGATGACTTAGAGTTTTTGAATATTATTTCCATTTTTTACAAAGAAAACCATTTTTTCTAAACAAGAACAACGGATTTGAAAACTCCTACGAACTCCCTTTCACCTGATTAGGTGCTCGTGCAGATGGGGCACCTTGGCGTGGTTGGTTCCAGTCAGCCTTGTCTGGTGTTTTCCCTCCATGGTCTTTTAACCATCTAAAATGGACAAACACGGCCACGCAGCTCCTACCAGTCACCACGGCCATTACCTCTGGTCTGATCAGGCAGCAGGGACCCAGGAGTGCCACCAACATGGGCACAGCACAGAGAGGAAAGCACTTCGAGATGAAGGTGGGTGGCCTCGACCCCGCAGGCAGGAAGTGAGGACGAGGTGGGCATATATCCGGTCCTAAGCTTGCTCAGTGGGCAGCAAACCCATGAAAGCGAGTCACTGAGGCTGGCTGCCTGGGACTCTGTCTACATAAATGTGGGGTGGGGCCGCTCCAGGGACGAGGCCTTCTGAAGGAGCAATTAGAGTCTGGTGCACCTGCTCTGCAGCGCGTCCTGTCCCAGGTGTGCTCATGTCGCTTTCACTGGGAGAATCGTCGTGCACTTCAGAGCCCTGGGGTCTAGGGAAAGCTCCGCAGCAGTCCATCTGACAGCCCTGGCGCTGTCACCGTCTGCGTCATCACCACCTTGCCAACTTGGCCACCTACTACCACGTGGCTGCCACTGCTAGTTATTTACCGTGGACAACGGACGCACGTCTAGATATTCATCTTTAAAGATAATTTCTTTAAAAAGAAATTCAGGTACTTGACTAAAACACTCTAGATGGTAAAAGAGTATGAGGTTCGTAAGCAATGTCAGATTTGCTGCCTGCTGCTCGTGGGCGGTCGACGGACAGTGTAGACGCAGGAGGCGAGATGGAGGACTTGACGCGTGAGGACTCTCCATTCACATCCACTCATTCACTGGGAAATATTCTCATGAGAAAATTTCCTCTCCATGACACAGCAGTGTGAAATCACCCACGAACACATTGCTAGTGAAGACTTCTTAACTGACTTTCGTGTCTTGAGATAACTGTTCATGCACACGCAGTGTTAGAAATAGCCTGGGGGCCACACCATGCCCGCTACGTGGGCAGCTTTTGTGCCACCGGTAGCATCTTGTACAGCACACGCAGGATGTCGACACCAGCACAGCCCATCCCGTTTCACTGGTACTCGTGTGTGTTCTGTACAGTTTTATCAAACGCAGCCATTGCCCGTTGCCCACTCAGGCCTCCCTCTTGGCGCGTGGGCTTCCTTCCAGTTTGTCGCTGGAGTCTTGTCGACCCAGGGCCAGGATCTGTGACACCTTCCGCTGCTGGCTGTGATGAGAGTTCTGAACTCATCTCACGCATTTTATTCTTCAGACTGCAATCAGTCATTTCTCCAAGACACTCGTTCTTCTGTTTAAAGTGGGGAAATGTATTTCTAGAACTCAAATTAGGGTTAGAGGAGTTCATTGCTTCTGGCTTGGCCCTTGTTTCTAGGTCTTTTCAAACAGAACTAGAACATGTAGGACTAAGTTCTCAAAGGGACTTCTTTAAAAATCCAGTGATTTTACTAGGATATGTGTTAGAGTTCCTCCTGCGGTAGTTTTCTAGATGTGGTGTTACTTCTCAATGTTGCTGCAAATTTTTTTTTCTTTTAAACACCAAGCCTCAAAAGCATCAAAGTGGCCTAACTTGTTGTCACAACAAATCTTGAGCTTTTTAAAGAAAAAAAAGGATTCAGAGAGTCAAAGTGTTCAGTATCTTCTCAAACATAATTAGACATTCAGATAAGCAGGAAAGTATGTTTATAAACTAGGAGGAAAATAAACAGAAATAACAGATCTGATGAAATAAAGAGATAAGAGTATGGTTTTGTCATTTTTGGAGAGATTTTTGCTATAGGACTCAGGCATTTGCCAGAGAG